TAATACACATGTAATTAAAAACATAACTTACATGATATTCAAATGGAAAAATAAGATAGACTGCAAAGTATGTCTCCCTCCTACTTCTGACTTGTAATATTCTTTGTGAATTGCAACCACTGATACCCATTCCTTCCAGAATATTCTCTGCATTTACACATGCAGAATTTACATGTATTTTTGTATCGTGGGCTCATTTCATACCTGTGAGTAGAGATCTGCCTCATTCTTTTTAAAGAAACAGGCATTGTATAGAGGGTTAGACTTCAAAGGACTTTCAGACAATGGGATGTTGCAGACTCTCTTCTTAGCCCTGGTGACATCCTACTGTTGCCTCCCTCTTCACATAGTTCTAGGTGGATTTTTCTCCCCTGCCCCATCCCCAACACGCCTGTTCTCTGAGGTCAGCCTCAAAAGTGGCAAGATCTTTGCTAACCCTCTATACCATTTTTCTGGTTTCTTTAGAAAGAAGAATTATCTTCTGCCTGGTGAAGTTACCAGTAGATTCTCAAGGGGGCCTAAGGGAATACAGAGAGGTCAGACTCTAGACCTGTCCAATTTTACGTTCTTTTTTTTCAAACTAGCCTTTGAAACCCAGTGTGTATTTTGCTCTTACAACAGATCTCAGTGGAACCAGCCACAGTTAAGGGGGGTTCAGTGGCCACATGTGGCTAGCAGCTGCCTTACTGGAGAGCACAGCCCTAGACACCCCTCCCATATGTCGCTGACCCATGTTGAATGGACCCCTTGCTTCTCCAGGCCTCCGTCTCCTCTCATTTTCGAATGAAAGTTGGGTTGGATGATCTCAAGAGCTCCCCTTCATCCCAATGTCTTCTGACTTTCAGTGCTAAAAATGGAAGGTCATGGACAAGCCAAGACAAGTAGGTCTGCTATAGCAGCTTAATCTCACCATCTGTAAAATGGGGACAATCCGGTGTCACCCTGATTGGAGTGAGGATGAAAAAATATGGCAGCCGATAAGGTTGTGATTTGGGGAGGAAGAAAAAGGAGGCACATTGTGGGGTTGGTGTTAGGATTGGGATTCACCCCAGTGAGTGCTCTGAATCCACTCGCTAGACCCAAGGTTGCCTCCCGGGTTCCTTCTCTGAACCCTACTCACCTCATCCATGGGTAACGGCTAGAGGTCTCTCCATACAGTCTCTGCCCAGGTCAAATAAGGAACCCATGCAGAGGGCTGGGCACCCTGCTTAGCTCATAGGAAACTCTCCAGTACTAGAAACTGCCACTGTCCCCACCCCCTGGTCGCAGAAACGCAGCCCAGAATGGGGAGTGGCTTGCCCAAGGTCACTGTGAGATGGTAGTAGCAGACGCTGCCCTATTTTGGCTCCCTCCTTGTTGCTGGCAACTGTCCCAAAAGTCAGCCGCTAATTTCCTCGCAGCAAGGTAAATGAAATAAATACGCCCAAAACCGCTGAACTACTCGAATGAGGCCCGGGTCCAAGTATTGTTTCCATGGTATGTACGCTGGCGTGCACGCATATGATTTGTTTAAAATCACAGCTCCAAAGGGCGGAGGCTGGCTTGGCAGGACGTGCCGCCCAGCACCCGGCTCCCCGTTTTCAGAGCCCTGTTCCACGACCCGTGCCAGATCCCGCCAGCTTTCCAGCAGAGGGCCCCTTCGAGATGGCACATGAAACTACCTGTGGCGAAACTGGGATGGTGGAGAAAATTAAAATGAAAAGCCAGGAAGCCCAGATCGTTACCTATTGTATAACAATAACAGGAAGCCCTTCCTTCTAGGCATTGGCTGGGTGACATTGCTGCATACCCCGCACTTGCCGTTTTAATTACTCCTTCTGGTTACCCAGGGAAGGGGTGGCTGCTTAACAAGTCCGTTTTACAGATAAGGAAATAGAAGTTCCAAGAAAATAAAGAACTCATCTGGAAACAGAGAGCCAGGAAGGGGCTTTAAAAATCTTCCCCGGGGCAAAAGGGTCACCAGCCACCCCCGTTGACGCAGGAGCCTCCTGGACCCTGGACATTCATGAGCTGGGACAAGTGGGTCCCTAGAGCAGCTTAATTTATTCATCTGTAAAATGGGGATATTCAAACTTGACCTTGGTAAGAGTGCAAATAAAATTACTGCAGCAGATGAGGCTGTGTTCTGTGGAGGAACAGGAGGGAGACAGGGTGTTGTGGGATTATTATTAGGATCAAGGTAGACAGGTGAGTAGAGCTCAGAATCTGTTGGCTGAGGCACAGAGCTCGTCTCTTCCTCTCTCTCTCTCCGCAGACACTGAATATCCCTGCTTCTCCCAAGCCCAGCCTCTTGCCAGTTCCTTCCAACAATCAGGTTGCCTTTCTTAGGTCAAAGTGTGAGAAACAGCACCCCAATTTCCCAAGCACCAGCCAGTAGCCCTCCCTGATTTGAAAACCAGCCGAGAAAGAGTTTGAAAAGCTGAAAGTGGCTGGGAAGGCTTGTGGGTCATTTTATCCTTTTTCTTTTTTCTTGAGCTAGGCCCGGGATCTGTCCTTTTTTAGGGTCTGGCCCAAGCCAGCAGTGGGAGAAAAGCTCTTTGGAAACCTTGCCTTCCCAAAAGCTCACCTGCGAGTCCCTTCTTTAATTAAAGAATGGAGTCCACTGCCAAAGTTGGACACTCAAGAGAGAGCTAGAGGTCCCAGCTGTCTCTGCCTCCAGCTAAACAACAACATCCTGGGTTTGGTACCCAGAAGAAATGGGGCTTGGGAGAGTTAAGGAAGCAAAGGGGTTAGGGAAGCACCTATCCTCCCCAGTGAGGAAAGACACAGGGGTTCTGGATGGTTCTCTCTCTCTCCGCAAACCAGAACCCCAGCAGCAAGATGCTGAAAGACACTCAGCCAGTCGACACACGGGCCACGCACGCTCACACACCCAGCAGAGAAATGACACGGCACGAGGGCATTGCATGAATACAGAGAGACACACACACACACACCGCGACACCAGATGGAGAACGTAGCCCGGGCCGGGCCTGGGTATTCATTATTCCCTCACCCACACAGAGGGGCTGGCAGAGTTGCATAACGTGGGCTGCAAAAGGGAGAGGCTAGCTTACTAACTGCCCCGCCTTAAGGGGATCCAGGAAGGGGCACCTCCTTCTTGGGGGGGGGGGTGTCTGCACCCATCTCCTGCTCACAGAGGCAACGGGGAGCTTGTCAGCTGCCTCAGTCCCCGGATGACCCCAGGAGTTCACTAAAAGGGAAATGAGGAGTGAGTGTCACTTTGTTAGTGGTGACAGCTGGGGGCTCCCTCCTTGCGCTGAGCATGGCGAGGATGCCAGCAGTGAAGGGTGCTTGGGATAGAGCTGGAACCTGGGCTTGAACTGGGGGGCTAGAGCAAGATGGGGGGGTTCTCTGCTGCCTCCCACCCGCCCCCACTCCCCCCGCAGCCCACAGATCACCCGCTCCAGGTCAGACACATGGGACACACTTCCATAACTGCCCACTGTGTTCACGCTGCAGGTGCATACATCTCACCTGGGCCACAGTGTCCCCAGCTAGGCTCCCTGTCACCCCTTAGTACCCCAGCCATACCCCATTTCTCCAAACCTGGGAGAGCCAGAGGGAGTTGAGAAAGTAACCAGAATATGAACTTTTTTCAACTGGAGTGTAAGTTTAAAAAGCTCGGGCTCAAGAGAGGGGCTGACCTGAGTTCAAAGCCTCTCTTTGCTATCATTTCTACATGACTTTGGACAACTAACGCATGCCCTTCCCAGGCCTGTTGAAGGGTTACCATGAGGATCAAAGGCAAATGTATTTATATACACACACGTACATACATTAAGAGCATACCTGTTCAATAAGTCTCCGCTATGCTTAATCTTTTGGGATTTTTCTTCATTCAGCAAGTACTCATTGAGCACCTACTGTGTGCTCACAATAACCCTGAGGGTACACAGTCCCCTCTCCTTAGTGTTTCCCCATTAGGGTTACAGGCAGTCTGTGGAGTACAGATGTCCTCTAAAGTTTTGTGTGGACCCATGTCTTTGGTGTTTAATATACCCCGATGCCTTTATAATGGTCTGTCATGTGTCCTCTGGAGCCGGGAACAAGTTGATAGTTACCAAGATGGTCAGAAAGGACGGTTGACACTATTGGCGGCATTCCCCTTCCAGTGGGCTTGTTGTGGGGTTTTGGGGAGTGGGTGGGGCAGAGAGCCCAAGGATCCGTTCTGGCTGACCTCCTGACACCCGAGTGGAAAATGTGGGTAAGACCCAGAGAGCCAAAAGCCACGAGACAAGTTGGAACGGTGACTTCTCATGATGGGAGAGATAAGAGATGAGATCGTGATTTCTGCCTTTTGATTTCTAGGCTATCAGTGGTTTCCCCAGGGAGACTGTTGGTCTCAGGGGGCTTTGATCATGGGAGAGGAAACCAGGCAATTTGCAGCTAACGGGGAGGGGCCCCCATCCCCTCAAGGAGGAAGGATTCCGTTTCGAGGTTGGCTTCCAAACCCCAGTGTCTTGTGGCTAGACTTCTCAGTTGGCTGCATTTCCCATCTCGCTTTTGAAGATGGCGCTGGGCGCCCCACATCAATCTCTGTCTGGTAGCTTCACCCCTCCTTTGTTCCTTCTCTCCAGCACAGGTCTGACGGGCCGGCAATGCCCAGAGAATAGTGCCCAGGAGTTTGCGTCACCTCGAGACACATCTAGACGCATCCACCAGACACTTCTCCTCCCCAGTCTGCCTGACCTGTGGCTTAGGGACACGTCCCACAGCTTCTCTTGACGTCTGCCCAATCGACCATCACTTCCTAGAGAACAAGGAGGAAGGCAGACGCATGAAATCATGCCACCGATGGCCGGATGGGAGTGAGTGGGTGACGCCGAGTTGACGTCAGAGACGGAGAGGACGAACCCAAGAGCAGCTCCTTCTTGAGCCTCCCCGAGCCGCCAGCCCCCGGCTCTTCCTCTCGGCACGGCGTAAAGCCTGGCACCTCCTGGTAAAGTCATCTTGGCTTGACCTATTTTAAGTCTTCGGACCCCCGGACACTAGACACCATGGAGAGTCAGGTGTTCAGTGTTCAGCAGATCCAACCCAACGTCATTTCCGTCCGCCTCTTCAAGCGCAAGGTGGGGGGCCTGGGCTTCCTGGTGAAGGAGCGGGTGAGCAAGCCACCCGTGATCATCTCCGACCTGATCCGAGGGGGTGCCGCAGAGCAGAGCGGCCTCATCCAGGCCGGCGACATCATCCTTGCAGTCAACGGCCAGCCCCTGGTGGACCTGAGCTATGACAGTGCCTTGGAGGTACTCAGGGGCATCGCCTCTGAGACCCACGTGGTCCTCATTCTGAGGGGCCCTGAGGGCTTCACCACTCACCTGGAGACCACCTTCACCGGGGATGGGACCCCCAAGACCATCCGGGTGACGCGGCCCCTCGGTCTGCCCACCACAGCCGTCGATCTCTCTCACCAGTCATCAGCCAGCAAGGAGCACACGCCGGCCGTGGACGGGACCACAGGGCCTGGCAACGGCCCCCAGCATACCCATGACAGCAGGCAGGAAGCGGGCTCACTCTCGAACACCAACAGCCTGGCCCCCAGACCCCCAGGCCAGGACCCCACCAAGAAAAGCACCGGGGTCGCCCCCCAAGACAGCCAGAAGAGTGAATTGCTCAAAGAGATAGAGCCTGTGCTGAGTCTTCTCACCAGTGGGAGCAAAGGGATCAACGGAGGGGGACCTTCCAAGGCGGAGACAAAAGACGCGGAAGTCCAGGTGGACAGGTAAGTGCCGCAGGTGTGTGCGCACAAGCGTGTGTGCGCACGGGCGTGTGTGCATGTGTGTCCTGTATGGAAGCGTGTCCTGCTACTCGGTGTCGGACCCGGGAGCCAACCTGAGCTGTTCCAGACGCTCACCCAGGCACATCCGCTCGGCCCCTCTTGCCTCTTCCCCTTAAAACTGCACTTGTGAGAGCAGAATGGGCGTAACTTCAGGCCTGTATCTCTTGCTGTGAGACCCAGAGCTAGGAGTCATGGTTGCTGATGCCGTGTCTTCCAGCAACCCCTCGAGGTGGGTATTTTTGCGATCTGCAATTCATGGGGCAGAAGACTGAGGCTCAGAGGGAAGGGGCCTCTCCCGGGTCATCCAGTGAGCAAGAGGCGCGTGTCCGTGGCAGTCTTGGCATAGGGTGAAGGCCAAGGTCCTGGGAATTGAGAGGGGATGAGCTGAGACCTGGGTAACCCTCAGCCTAACCCAGCTGTCTCCTTATGACAGACGCTTGGAACAATGGAGGAATCAAAGTAGAGAACTGGCCCCAGTTCCCCCAAAACTGGGCTTACTTATGTTGTGCAGGAGCTAAGGCTAGAACGTGACGACCCAGGTCCCGGTCCCCCTGATTCTGGAGAGGAAGAGAACAGGCAATGCCCACCCGGCAAATTCAGGGGAACCGGGACCTGGGTGATTCTAGCACCTTCTTTGGGGAGGAATTGGCAGGTGGGCCAAGGGTCAGAGAATAGCGGGTCCAGAGATATGAGAGAGAGGGAAATTTCTCTCTGCCCCCTTCTGCTGTCATCTTAGATTAGCATTAACCCTACAGCCCCTCCTTCTTATCCACCTCCCACTACAGGGGAGGCTGAGGTGTGGGGCCACTTAGAAACCCAGGCCAAGATTTCCCAACCCTCTGTCCAAGGACCCCTGAGTATCTGGAGAGCATGTAGAGGTCCCCAGGTTGTCTCTCAGGGACCTGGATTAAAGAACTCTCCAGACATGTGCACCGATTCATTTAACAATTGTTCATTGAAGGTCTGCTGTGGCCAGACACTGCTCTGGGCACCAGAGGTAAAGCAATGAATGGGACAGACAAACCCTCTGACCTTGTGAGTGAATGAAATAGACAAGCCCCTTGATCTTGGGGAGCTTATAGTGTTGTGGGAAAGACAAAGAATAAATGAGATCAAGATGTTAAAATATGTAGGCCATCGGTGATATGTGCTAAGAATATATATGTAACAAGGAAGGGGTCGGGAAGTATTGGGGAGAGTGAATTTTAGAGAGAGAGGCTGGGCAGGTCTCCAGGAAGGTGACATTGGAAGACCCAGTAGAAGGGGAAGAAAGGCGCTTTGAAGCTTTATGGAGGAGGGCCATTCCATGCAGAGGGAGCAGCAGGTGCCAAGGTCCTGAGGTAGGAGTGTGCCTTACATGGTGGAGGAATTGCACAGGATCTAGTCTTCCTTCCTGATGGGTCAGCCCCCAAACTGCCTTTTGGGGGGGCTCAGTCTGTGGCACCCCATCTCACCCCACCATTGCTTCCTGGAACTTTTTAAACTTTTCCCACCTGGGCAAAACCAAACCAATTCCAGCAAGACACCAAGAGGGAAGACGAGCCTGTATCAGAAGCCACCAGGCATCCCCTGCTGCCCTTTGAGCTCCTGTCCTCTGTCCTGCTCTCTTCTGTCTTCTGCGCATTCCTGGGGCAGCTTGGAGTCTCCCTCATACCTTTGGTCCCATCTCTACAGGAGACCGTGTCTTGGCCCCAGTACACAGGTCATGGTGTGACCCTCTTGGTGGGGCAAGTGTCAGGGAGCCCCTATCATCCTGACCTTCCTTTCCAGAGCTGGAGGCCAGGATTTGTCCTTGGGGCTGTCCTGGTTTGCAGAGATCTGGGGCCTGGTTCACCCACGACTAAGCATGAGACCCCCACCCCAGGCAAGAACCCAGTCCTCAGGGTCGCTGCCGCCTCCCAGGGCTCCCTTCAGCGGCACACACAGGAAAGACAACATAGTCTTGACATAGCTTCTGGGAAGCCAGCAGCCGCCAAGTCTCATTCAGTGGATTTAAATCCTAAAGCAGTTGGAGAATCCAGGTTCGGTCATTGGCCTGGTTTTCCAGGACACCACCCGAAGTGCCTCCCCTCAAAGTTTCTTGGGTAGACCCTCTTCCTCAACACCCCTTCTCCCAGGAGGAGCAGCAGGAAGTTGAGTAAGAGTGTTACATCTGGTGTTATATCTGGGGCCATATCTAGCATTCCGTACACTTGGTTCTGAGTCTTGGCTGGGCGCAGGGCGGGCGTGGGGTCAGGAGCGTCGGAATTCCGTGGGGCTTTATTTCAGTCCCACCCCAGACCAGGAGTCTGAATCTCCCTGTGTGATGTGGAGAAGTCCCCGGCAGGTCCTTCCCCGTCCCAGAAGCCAGTATGACCCTCTCCCAGCTAACAGGGCAGGACACACAAGCCCGGTGCGGGACACTAGGATTGGCGGAAGTCATGAAATACAAAGGACTTGAACCACAGCCCTCTCATAGGCCAGGCCTGAGGGGCCTCTCCAAACCCCAACTCAGAAAAGCAGGCTTTGTTTCCCTGAGGGTGGAGGGAGGACACGCTGGTCTGACATGGGGTCTCCTCCGGCGGACCTAGTTTCCCAAACTGGGAGGCTGCCCCAGCTCTTGACCTGCCCTCGTCCATCACAGCCTTCATTCCAGTGATCAAAAGGAGCAGCAAACACCCCTTTGGAGAAGGCATAGTTTGGAAGAAAGTGGCCCGGGGCAAGTCCAGGGCTCCATGAACTCAGCTGAGGGAAGCAGTTCGAAGGAGGATTATTGTCTGATGCTAGCATGTGGTTTCCCTGGCTTGATGACTCACACCTGTGCTGGACTCAGAACTTTCCCTCACCTTCTACCACTTTAATGAATATTTTTTAAAAATGCCTCCTTTACTAGTAAGGAGCAAATTCATGGATCATATAACCTACTCGTACTTTACATTTTTTAATAAATATAATGCCCTAACTATAAAAGAAAGGACACCAAGCATAAAAGTAATTTATTGTAGGGATGCCTGGGTGGCACAGTCAGTTGGGTGTCCGACTCTTGGTTTCAGCTTAGGTCATGATCTCAGGGTCGTGGGATCAGGCCCTGTATCAGGCTCCCTGGTTAGCGGAAAGTCTGCTTGGGTGTCTCTCTCCCTCTCCCTCTGCCTCAACCCCCTGTGTGCGTGCTCTCTCTCTCTCTGTGTGTCTCAAATAAAAAAATAAATCTTTAAAAGAAAAAAAGTAACTTATAGTAGTAGAAGCTATAATGTAATAGATCAGTACTTGGATATTGGTCCCAAACGTAGAATTAGCCCGCACATGACAGCGTCAAATGTGGATTTGACACAAGTGTGTCGTTTTGGCAACTCAGACACCACCAGTAGGGTCGTCTTAGTGATGTGATGATGGGATTTTCCAAAGTGGTGACTGGACTCCCGATAAAATGGTGTCCTGTCTTTATTTGACCCAGTGGTGGCCTGCAAGGAAAATTCAGGATATTTTAAAGCCGTGTTTATATGTCCGACCCAATTGGAATCTTGGCTCAGGAATCTTAGCTCAGGAATCTTAGTGATGATGGGATTTTCCAAAGTGGTGACGGGACTCCCGATAAAACGGTGTCCTGTCTTTTTTTGACCCAGTGGTGGCCTGCAAGGAAAATTCAGGATATTTTAAAGCCATGTTTATATGTCCGATCCAATTGGAATCTTGGCTCAGGAATCAAAGCTTAGCTTGCTTTGGATCTGGGTGAATGTCCAAAAGGTGCGTAGCAGCCAGGCCCCGTCTTCCCTGTGTGGGTTTGTCCCTGGCACTGAAGGATGTCCCCCCACCTCCGAGGCCACCTCCTTCCCACTGTGATGGCAGGAGCCCTCAAGATCGTTGGAACAACCCAAACTTTTGGTTGTTGCAAATGTGCCCTCAGAAATTACCAGCCTGCCTCCCAGTGGCTGAGTTAAATGCCGTGCTAAGTGTCAGCATCCCAAGTCAGGAAACGGAAGCCCAGGGACAGAACGGTCTTCAGGGTCACTCTTGCGCCTGGCAGGCCTGGGAGCGTCCGAGCCCCTTGGAGCACGTGGCGGCCTGGGAATGATGCACCCTTCCAGGGGCTTCCCCATCCAGGCTGCTTTTTGGGGTGGGGTCAGAGCTGGCTTCTGGATGGCCCCCACCAGGCCTGGAGCCCCACATCCTGTTCACAGACAGCAGTCTGTGGCTTCTGGGGGACCAAGCAGAGGCTGGGGCCATCCCTGGTTCTCAGCGGTGCCCTTGACTTTCCTGTTCTCTTGGCCTCATTTCCTTCCTTCCCTCTTTCCTCTTGGACGCAGACCTATTCTCCTGCTTTATCTAGTTCCTTTCCGTTGCAGGGCATCCCTGGTCCTGTTGTTGGGATGCTGACCCTTCGCCAGGGGGAGATGTGATGGTTCGTGTAGGTTCAGCTTCACCTTGATCTGGGGGAAGGTGGACCTGGCGGGTGATGGCAGCGTGTGGGTGTGTAAGGAAGGGAAATCTGGGGGCTTCTGGGACCTTCTGCCCTTGGGAGCGGTCACTTTAAAATGCTGCGTGTCAGAGGATATCCAGGTTGTTCAGCCTGCTGCCCTGAAGGAGGGTTCTAAAGAGGCCAAGGTCCCTGGCCCAGCATCCATCTGGACCAGCCGGTCAGCCTCGCCCTGTGCTGGGATCACTTCCCCTCCACCTGCAGGGCACTCGGGTCCTTACAGAGTACCTTCCCGACCCCCGTGTCTTCAGGGCTGTGGTGAATTCAGCTCCCTAAGCGGGCTGTGTGGTTGGGGTCCCCTTATCGACGAGAAAACTGAAACTCCGAGAGCTGGAGCAGTTTTGCCCAGAGTCACCTAGCACGGGCCACAGGGTGCCACCTGGCTTCTACCTGGACGTCTCACTGTAGGCATCTATAGTTAAAGACAGACCAGGCGAGAGAACGTGGCTGGAGGCACAGAAGTCCATTTCGAGCCCAGAGAATGAGCTTA